AGCTCGCATGTCTACATCTCGCGCGCACCACCACAACACAGTACTCGGTACCAGTAAAGATTGTAATTTGTTCACATTTGAATTAAATCACTATTCTGTGGCTTCACACAGATCTACTGCCGACTGAAACAGAACCAACCAAACGAACTCTGGAATGGTGAGTGAGAAATGGATCCGGAAGAAAGTATTTTTAAATTCTCAAAGGGCGTTCCGGCTCTGAGGAAGCACCTAAGTAACCAACGTAAGGAGAAGGTGCCTGAAGGAAGACCTGATTCTGTCCGATAGAAGTGGACACTAAACGTGTGTCGGTCTCGCCAGGACAAGAATTGACAACACGAGTATGTTAAGGTTGGCGCAATGGTTTCCCGAACTAGGACATTCTTAGGCTCTTGTCTCCAAACGCTATAGCTGAAGGGGGTGGTGTGTTCGGAAATGAGTAGAGTAAGAGAAATTACATACAGGATGGAAGTGAAAGCTCTTTAGGGCGATCGTTATCCGACTGCGGCTCACAACACATATTCATACTAATAATAATTCACTAGCACTTACATGCTCCGTGTAATTTACCAGTAATTTAAAACAATATCTAAACTAAACACATTTCAATTTCATTGAAAAATAATACAATCCCAAAGATTGACATGTGTCAATTGTCATAGATGATCTTAAGTTCTTGAGTGTGCGCTGGTGTGCGGTCCGTCGCGGAAACAAGAAGAACGCAATGCACTGTGCGCAAACTCTATGTCCAGTCTAGTCTAGTCTAGTCTAGGTTATGGTTAGGTTAGGTTTAGGTTTAGGTTAGGTTTAGGTTAGGTTTAGGTTAGGTTTAGGTTAGGTTTAGGTTAGGTTTAGGTTAGGTTTAGGTTAGGTTTAGGTTAGGTTTAGGTTAGGTTTAGGTTAGGTTTAGGTTAGGTTTAGGTTTAGGTTAGGGTTAGGTTAGGTTTAGGTTAGGTTAGGTTTTTTTTTTTTTTTTTTTTTGTTTTTTTTTAACCCCCGTCCTCACAGGGCGTTGCGTTCTACCTCCAACATAATCGGAGCTTTAGCTGCTAGGTTTAACATTTCTTACTATTCTACTTATTTCTTATATAATATATTATAATATTTACAGGACTTTTATATATACATTGTTTAATTTTTTATTCTTACAGTGATTTTTACATCCTATTTTTAACGATTTGTTCTTAAACTATACATCTTTATTTATCTAATTCCCTTCTCTATGCTACTCTATAATATATATTACTATATTATGATAGCATAATTACTTGCTACGCTGTTTTGTTTCTGTTTATAACATTTTGAGCGATTTCGATACAGAATTTTAAAAACATGTCTCTTTCTTTACTGTTTAAGATGTTTGGTACATTTTCCCTTACAATGTTTTGATTTATTTTATGTCCTAATTCAAACCTTTGCATTGCAGGTATTGGGCAGTCGAAAAGGATGTGTGGGACGGATTCCTCTGTTCCTGGCTCGCATGCGCACGATGGGCTCTCTTTGCACTTAAAGCGATTCAAGTACTCCGAGAACCCACCGTGCCCTGTCATAATTTGCGTAATTATACCATCGATTTTTATTTTGTGGATCATCCGGTACGCCGTCACAGCATCCGGGAAGAATATCTTTGTGACCTTTTTTTTTTTATGATTGAAAGTTTACTGGTGGCCCGAAGGCCTTTCCAGTTTCACCAGGACAGGTGGGCGAGCAAAGGCTCAGCCAAGAGGGGTGGGATTTGCTAACAACTGCCCGAGCGCCTCCGAAGGAGACCTAACAACTCAAGAGCAATTGTTTCGCGAATGAATCTACTACCGGATCGGAATCGCGACCCGCTGANGGGCAGGCTTAGGGACCCCGGTAACCGTACTCGTCGAACTCGACAAAGAGGTCGACGTGCAACCTAACCCATGCATCAGCCCGCTGAGTTTCTCGCCGGATCTTCTCAGCGGGTCGCGATTCCGATCCGGTAGTAGATTCATTCGCGAAACAATTGCTCTTGAGTTGTTAGGTCTCCTTCGGAGGCGCTCGGGCGGTTGCTAGCAAATCCCGCCCCTCTTGGCTGAGCCTTGCTCGCTCACCTGTCCTGGTGAAACTGGAAAGGCCTTCGGGCCACCAGTAAACTATCAATCATAAAAAAAAAAAATGTCTAACTATTATGAGTGATATAGTAAGATATATTGCGCTCCTGATAAATAAAAAGGGTAAGGAAAATGATGATGATGATTGGATAGAATCGTGTATTTGACCAAGTATAGCGTGTGCTCAGTGCGAGTTTTTTAACGTTCTCGATAGCGTAAAAGTTAGCTCAAATTTGTATGGAATTGGAACGTTTGCCGACGTTTGCCGCTATGAGCGTTATTCCAAGTGCATACAACAGTTTTATTTTTTATTGATTAGATGGGTGAACGAGCTCACAGCCCACTTGGTGTGAAGTGGTAACTGGAGCCCATAGACATCTACGACGTAAATGCGCCACCCACCTTAAGATATAAGTTCTAAGGTCTCAAGTATAGTTACAACGGCTGCCCCGCCCTTCAAACCGAAGTATGAGTTAACTTTTACGCTTATCGGGAACGTTATAAAACTTGCACTAAGCACATCGATATCAAAATACACTGTGAGTTCAAACCTAAGGGTAGATAGATCATGACCTCTACTAGCGTTTTAGTTCCGTTATAAAAATATTACTACAGTATAGATTCATAGTCATCATTCTCCTGCCCTTCTCCCAGTCACCTGGGGTCGGCTCAACATGTTTTCTCCTTCCATACTTCTCTATCATATACCATTTTTTCGCACACTCCCCTCTTACACATATCGTCTTTCAAAAATCCATCCATTTCTTCTTAGGTCTATCTCTTCCTCTATATCCTTCCACATTCATAGTTAACATTCACTTACTAACATCATTTTCATTTCGTCTCACCACATGTCCATACCATCCCAAACGCACACTTCTCAGCTTCTCTGTCACAGGTGCCACTTTCAGACTTCCTCTAACATATTCATTCCGTATTCTATTCATTCTCGTTACTCCACACGTCAATCGCAACATTCGCATCTCTGCTGCATGAAATGTGTAGATTCATATCATCGTGTAATAAAAACCAAACCCGCAAAATTATAATTTGCGTAATCACTGGTGGTAGGACCTCTTGGGAGTCCGCACAGGTAGGTACCACCACCTCGTCTATTTCCGCCGTGAAGCAGTAATGCGTTTCGGTTCGAAGGGTGGGGTAGCCGTTGTAACTATACTGAGATCTTAGAACTTATATCTCGAGGTGGGTGGCGCATTTACGTTGTAGATGTCTATGGGCTCCAGTAACCACTTAACAACAGGTGGGCTGAGAGTTCGTCCATCCATCTAAGCAAAATTAAAAAAAAAAGTGCCTTAAATAAAGTGATTGTCAATGCTTTAGCGATATCATTAGGTATATCTACGCGATATAGTTACTGTCTGTCTTGTCGCAAGAGGCCGTGTGAATCTACCTCGTTGTTTTAAGAAGAAAAAAAAATACAACCTGTAATTCACTTCGTCCCTATTAAGAGACGGGTTCGTAGTTTGTAAAATTATCTAGCTTTGGGCAATACTTGGACAGTTATGCAATTCGTTGCGTCATATTGGTCACATCGCATTTTACTGAGCTATATGCACGCGATCTTTACTTCAAACATTACATTCCAATTAAATCAAGTATCCAGTTCTGTTCTCTACAGCCCAGAACTTAAAACCCAATTTCGATTGATGTTATTTTTTTTAATTGCACGATACTCTGTTCTATGTAACGTATGTCAGACGACACAGTCACGAACACGAACACATTCCGAATACGAATTGTCAATCGATTTATAATCGAGTACCCTATTGCTTAGTCATTCAAAATTATATCAGTACGAATTATTTAATCGATGATTTTAATGATCGAGGTTGGATTAATATCCTTTGCAGCAGGCACTTGGAAGGAGAAAAAGAATATGTTATGATATAAAATGTATATAATGATAGTTATGTGTTAGATTTTTTAAGTTACTAACATAGATTATGGTTTAAAAAAATAAAAAAACTGAAATAAAGTATTAATAATAATAATAATATTATCAATATTGTCGTCCATAATTATTATAAAATATTTTTCGTGTATCTCAGGAATGTGGAAATAATAATAATAATCTATTGGTATTGTATCGTTGATTTTTGTTGAACAATAGTGATGTGCTTATGAGTTGTACACAGATTTATAGGTTTGACCTCAAGACGAGCGCTCATGGCAGAAAGGATCGGCATTGGTATCGATGGGGAATCCTAGTCTTTACGGATACCCTGCCGACGGGGGTCGGACCCGGTTATGTCGGACTCTGCGCCTCCGGTGGAAGAAAGAGGAAGAAGTCGCGAACCGAGGTCCGCGCCCTCAACCAATTGGTCCACGGAGACTACGCCTTTAGAAAGGCGCGCTGGTCTAAGTTCAGCTCTCGGCAAACCCGCCCAGCTTCACGACTACCGACTAAACCCCAACGAGCTCCTCCACTCCGGCTGGGCGGGGACCCAGGTACCGCCATGTGCGCGCCATAGGCCCGCCTTCGCCGGCTCCCACCCCAATGTTACGTTGGGCGGGATCTGCCACCGGGGACTTCTTCCCCCTCTCATCTCCACGACTCGTGAGGGGCGCACCGGAGCCACAGCGCACCACCACCCCACAGGACCTTANCCATGTGCGCGCCATAGGCCCGCCTTCGCCGGCTCCCACCCCAATGTTACGTTGGGCGGGATCTGCCACCGGGGACTTCTTCCCCCTCTCATCTCCACGACTCGTGAGGGGCGCACCGGAGCCACAGCGCACCACCACCCCACAGGACCTTAGTGCCGAGCACCGGGCGCCCCCGCACCCAGCAATCGACGGCCCCTGCAGGAGCCGGGTGGGGGCTTTCTGCCCGCACCACCCGCTCCGCCTTCACTGCCTACGAACCGAGGTCCACGACCTCCTCCTCACGATTTCCTCCTCGGTTCATCGGCATGCCCGGTTCTTCATAAAGCCCCGGTCTTCCTTATGCCCGACGGAGGCTGGACGTCCATCGGAGTCGTCGTCTCGCCGAGTTGACTTCGGTCTGCAGCAACGGGTGCGGCCGCGGGTGCAGCGACGTCCTCTCTCCTCGGTTTTCTCGGGGGCCTTGCCCCCCGAAGTGTGGTCCGCTGGTTTCCCGGCGGAGGCGCAGACGGCGCATCGCGGTGCCAGTGTGCATCCGGATGCCACGTGGCCGGTGTGTCCGCACCGGTAGCAGTCGTGGCTGCGGTCGACCGACGACGGGCACCGCGCACCCACATGGCCCAACGCGTGGCAGCGGAAGCATTGTAGTCTCCGGGCCTCCAGCAGGTGGACGCGAACAACGCTCCACCCGATGCGCAGCTTCGTCATTGTAACAATCTTCTTCACCGCTGCTATCGGGCAACGAACGAGAACCTGGCCCATTCCTCCGGATCCGGGCTTGATAGAGCCAGCCTTGACTGCATCGACGGAGCATTCGCCGATGCGCGCAAGCTCGGTGTATATCTCCTACTCCGTCAGCGAATCGTCAAGTCCGCTTATGCGGATTGCAGCGGTCACCATCGGTCTTGTCACCGTTACTCTCTTGGAAGAGAGAACCTCCTTGAGCTTCTCGGCCAGCAAGTCGGCCTTCGCGATCTGGTCCTCGCCGCTCACTATGAGTATTTTGTCTCCGGTTATTGCTGACCGGACCTTCTCGATGGGGATCCCTAAGGCTCCGGCGTCGATGCTGGCCCTCGCCTCGGCGAGCACCTCCCGGTAGGAGAGCCCCTTTTCGATGGCCTCCGGGTGCAGCCTCAGAATAACGCCCTGCGAGGGCGGAGTTCGAAGTCTCTTCTTTCTACCTTTCTTCTTAGGCTTGAGCGGGGCAGGGTTTCTGTCTCGTTGGCCTTCCGCGTTGGTCGTCGGTGCTGGCTCCTTTTCCCTTCTCGGCCGTGCTCCTCTACGCGCAACGGTCGCCCAACTGACCGTAAGGGCAGCGGGGGCCGGAGGGAATGCGCGCGGCTCGGGTGGAGCTGGNCTTTCTACCTTTCTTCTTAGGCTTGAGCGGGGCAGGGTTTCTGTCTCGTTGGCCTTCCGCGTTGGTCGTCGGTGCTGGCTCCTTTTCCCTTCTCGGCCGTGCTCCTCTACGCGCAACGGTCGCCCAACTGACCGTAAGGGCAGCGGGGGCCGGAGGGAATGCGCGCGGCTCGGGTGGAGCTGGCGGCTCGGGTGGAGCTGACGGCGTCGTCTTCTTGTTATTGCCCTTCTGTTTCTTGGGCTTCACTTTCTTGTTGGTCTCAAGCTGGGGCAGAGCCGCATAAGGCGGCGTCGCCTTCGATACAAGACCTGCAGTGTCTGGATCGATTTCGCTCTCTCTGCTCCTCTTTCTTGCGTCAGCGGCCAAAGGTGGTCGGTGTTTTCCGAGCGCTATGACATGTCCTTCTTCAAACGAGGCTTGCGGAGAGTACTTTATGGTAGACAGCGGCTTGGCTCTGCCCCTGGCATTGCTGACGTCCATGAGCGACGGTGACCACTTACCATCAGGTGGGCCGTATGCTCGTCTGCCAACAAAGGCAATAAAAAAAAAAAAAAAAAAGCGAGTTTCTGGGAGTAGACGGGCCTCCAGACCCTCGAGTCGGGCGTCCAGCATGGACCCGACTGCTCGCATGATTATCTGCAGGTGTCGCTCGTCGTCTTCGTTTGGCAGTATTGGGGCGGGAGTGGGCTGCGCTGTCGTCTGAGCGAGGCGCACCATTTCCGCTCTTACGTCCTCTACTTCCTTCCTGAGCTGCAGGATCTCCGCCTCCTGTCTCTCGCTGGCCTGCAGCCTCAGGGTTTCCTCGTTGGCCGATCTGGAAGCTAGATCTTCCGTGGCCTCCTTTATTGTTGTGGCCATCTCCTTAAGGGCTTTGATGTACGTCCCCTTCGGGTTGCGCGCTTTCGCCGCGATGGTAAGGGCCATCTGGGCGGACTCCTGGAGCCTAGTCGCGGGATCTGCTGTTATGTTCCCGGATATTAAATATACTGCGCGCCTCTTCTCACGCAGGTTGTGCACGCTTTCCACTACCTCCTGTTCAGCGCGAGGCTCCAACTCTTCACGTTGAGCTTTTAAGTATGCCTGCTTCGCCGCCGCCAATCCCACGTATTGGCCGGTCGTTGGAGGACGACCTCGGCCTCTCTTCGATGGTATGGTCCTGGACACCAACGATCCTGACCTAGACGCCTCCGATTCGGTACTGCTGTCGGAGCTTGCGTTCTTCGAGCCTTTTGCCCTTTTGCGCGTCGTTCTCTTTGGTGATGAACAGCAGGAGCTGACCACCATGCTGTCCTCCGAGCAAACGCTGCTTTCTCTCCTCCGGTCTTCGTTTTGCACCGTTTCTCTTTCGTCCCTTGTGGACCTCTTCCTTTTCTCCCCGTCCTTCTCGGACTCTTTCCCGGAACAGCTTGTGCCCCCCCCAGAATACGAGGGGCAGCATGCGGCCGATTTCTCGACCGCACGGAGGGATTCTCCTCCCGCAGAGCAAGAGGTACCCTCCTGGGGTAATAACTTTTTCAGGCTGGACATGCTCATGCTTTTTTATTTTTATTTACCTAGGGTGCGGTCCCCTAGGACGCCCTCGAGACTGGTCTCCCACCAGCCATTCGTCCCGTTGCCGGGCGTCAAAACTTGGGATTGGGTGAGAATAAAGAAAGAAAGAAGTGGAAAATATAACAAAATCTAACATAAAAATGTAACCAACAGTACAAGAGTGAAGATAGTAAACAAACAAAACACAAAGAACAAAATAATAACGAAGATAAGGACAGACAAACTCAACATAAATTAAATCAAAAATATAAAGAAAATAAAAGACAGTAAAAACAAACTCAAAATAATAAGGAAGAAGTCGGGGGCCCGGGCATCCCCGGAAGAAACACCCTTCAACTAGGCGAAGGGCGCAGAGAGCCTAGAACCCCCCTTGCTGGTTTTGGTCCACGTCGCTCAATCTCTCCCGCCATAACACAACGAGAGAGAAGGAGCGATACCCCTGGGAGTATGACTGCTCCCAGAGGCCCGTTATTCGCCACCTACGGACGCGCCCGGTGGAAGTCCAGCAAAACTCCCCCACAGACGGAACCCACGGCACGCAGAGTGCGCATCGGGGGCCCGCCCAGGTCCCGGGAGGTACTGCCGCCCTGCCTATTTCCTGCCGCAATGTAGCAATTTCGATTTTTAAAGTGGAATAGCCTGAACCACACAAATCAAACTTAAACTTCATGTTTCAATTGTGGTAGCGGAATTTACATTGCGATACATCTAACATAACGAAATAATGTTGCTAGTAAATGGTTTCCGTAAGTATAGATTTTCTTACAAAAATAAAACAAAAAGCTCAATGAGGAAATGCTAATCGATTATAACAATCATTAGAATTGAGACCGTACCTAGCTTTAAGCCAGAAGAAATAAGGTAAGCTATCCATGATTTGAAACAAGATATTTTTTAATTTTTAATAGGACTACCAACTAATCCATAAGAATTCATTTTGGATACTACTTTTATTTATTTATCCTTTTTAAAATAGTAATGTAGACGTCGAAATACCAAGTCAGAATAAAACAAAAAAGGGTGCGTGTACTTATGTACGCGCGTAAGAAGTTATACTTTATTTTTATTAAATTTATTTCTTTTTGTTTAATTTCAATTTCAATCAATTTGAAAAAAAAATCGATTAAACAACATCCTCAAACACGCATATTGGACATTCCTTTTCTTGACATCGTATAAATTCGGTAATTCTCGGTACGGTTCGGAATGTTCACCTGCGGCTATATTCAGACTCGCCAAGTTACGTCGGTCGTATTGTAATGAGCGATTTAGTGGGCAACTTCATTCTGTTAATTTTGTGTCACGGTGCGCGCGCATCGTAAAATTTCACTCTCATAAATTTTTCACAACGTTCCTAAAGAAGTATAACTTTAAAAACAAAAATTAAAATCAAAGATACGTCTAAAAGCATTTTAAGAAAATTTTAGCTTTGTCGTTTCTAGTATTGAGAATAATTTATTTGCTATTACTGAATTTTTAACAGCATTCCTGGGAACAGCGTCCCTGTCTACCCTGTGTTCCAATGATGAGACAATGTCTCCGTAATATTGCGGTGGCGGTACTACAAAAGCATACACTGTTTATTTGCCGGCCACACGAGAATGCGGTCTACGGAGATTGCATTGGCATGTAAGTAATTTTCTAACGCGGACCGAGACGACCGTTTTTCGAAAGATTTTATTAAGATATACCTATGAAGTAAATACGTCTAGAAAGAACATGCAGATTGTAATGAGTGGTGTAAGATTATGTAATTAAATGAGACGGTGTTAAGTATGAATTGTAATTATTTTGTAATTATTATTTGGTAAAGATATAAAAATAATTACAGGCCACAAATTTTAGGCAATATTTCTGGTGGTAGGACCTCTTGTGAGTCCGCACGGGTAGGTACCACTGCCCCGCCTATTTCTGCCGTGAAGCAGTAATGCGTTTCGGTTTGAAGGGTGGGGCAGCCGTTGTAACTATACTGAGACCTTAGACTTATATCTCAAGGTGTGTGGCGCATTTAGATTGTAGATGTCTATGGGTTCCAGTAATCTCTTAACACCAGGTGGGCTGCGAGATCGCCCACCCATTTAAGCAATAAAAAAAAAATAAAGAATAAAAAACATTCATCATAGTCGGTTACTCTTGGCAGATCAGTTTTGTTTTGTAAAGCCTTGACCGATGTTTTCCATATCTTTCGAACTGAGGCTTGGCACACGCACTTGTTAAGTTAGGTTTTAGTAAGGTCTTTTACCTGATTAGTCCAACGCATGGAGCTTCGTCCACAAGATTTTTTACCATACCCTGAACAACAAATTTCTTGAGAGACTCTGCTGGCCGTCACAATAGGTGTCCAAAATATCGAAGAAACCAATCGAATTCCAGTCTTTTTTTGTTACCTAATTTCCAGTAGCCTTGAAGTGCTTTTCTTCACCGTGACTGCTGTGCAAGATCACAGGGCTCAACTTGATACAATTTGCTAAAATCTGCCCTAGAAAGAGCAATGCTTAGTAGAATATACGACGGTTTCGAAATCGCGACTCGCTGAGAAAATCTGGCGAGAGACACAGTGTGCTACGTCTCTCTCTCTCTCTCTCTCTCTTCTCCTGTGTCCACCCAAGCTGAGTGTAGGTCTCTTCAAATGCACTCCATTCTTTTCGGTCTTTTGCCTTTCGCATTCAGTCCTTACCAACTATTTTGACCAGGGTTACGTATATGAGCTACCAACTCCAGTAACGGCTCTTCTACCCTTTGAGTAAAAATCTATGAACGTTTGTGGTGCCTATACATGCTGACTTCATTAAGGTCCTAA